TTCAATATATTAAAATGGGATTGAAGTGGGAGAGGGGGAAAAAAAAAGGGAGAGAAAAAGGCAAAGATCCATATTTATAAGTGCGGTGCGCCAAGTGTGTTGCGACAAGCACGGTGCGTCAAACGCCATGTGACATGCGCGATGTGTAGCAAAAGAAAACAAAAACAAGCAAGTGTTCTTTGGAGCAAAATCCCCAGCGCGCAAACTTAACAAAGGTATTATCGACAAAACCAGGGAAAAAAGAAAAAAAAAAAAAAAAAAAAAGACTACGTCAAATGAGCATCCGCCGGACGTGCTACATATCACACTTCCCATTTTCCATTTTACTAATGAGCAACAAAAAGGAGGAAAGTTTAATCAATTTTATCTCATTCAAAAAATTTATGGACAGATATAATCAGTGTTTTTTTTTTTTTTTTTTTTTTTTTTTTTTCAAAGTGCCGCTGATGGCTAACCCCATTTGCTGGATGACCTACGAAACGTATCGCCTGGGGCTCAACGATGTAGAGAAAGACTTACAAAAAAAAAAAAAAAAGAGTCATTCTCCGGGACCCCTCTAATATGTAACATGTGGATCCCAACCAATGTCACCATTGTTTCCTCAACGGTGTTAACCTGGTGAAGGGCATTTTCTCCCCATGGGTGTATATGTGCAGATTATTATTGGAACAATGAAGAAGTGTGAATTGTATTGCAGCGGGGGGTAGAACAGATATATTATACGCAACATAACGACGCGTCTACATGGGTGTATTTTTTAATTTTCGACCAGGAAAGCTTCTCTGTGTATCATTCGCAGGTTTTTCCTACCGTATGGGAGGTCCTCGCGTGTTTTGTTCCCACTCCCCTTTCGCTTCTTTTTTTTTTCTTAGGAGAAATCCTCCATCACACGATTTTTGCTCTCCCCCCCGTGGGCAAAAGAACAAAACGAGGCTTGTATTATAATTTTATGTTTCCGCCTCAGTTACCACTTTGCACCACAAATGGCTGGCCAAACATGTGTGTGCAAAGATGTGAGGTGTACGTTGTACAATTCTCTTGTGAAAAATTTTGAAGGAACAACGGAGAGAGGGAAATTTATATCAACATTGGTAACCGCTTGAGTTTGTGTTTCACTGGGAATGCAACACGTATGAAGGGTGGGTTGCATCGGTGGGCATACATCCACCGCGTAGACTTCCGCTTGAACGATGCGTGAGGGATGCAGCATTGTGCCATGCGTTGTTCGCTACATCGGGGGACCACTTCACAGCAACTTATGCGTAGCAACTTATGCGCAGCAACTTATGCGCAGCAACTTTGCACAGCGTATGGACGTTTTATTTGCAAGTGGAACTGCTAACTGGGAACTTTCAATAAAAAAATAATGTAGCTTTTTTTTTTTGTTTTTCTTGTTAAAATTATGAATTTCCCCTGATGCTACACCGTAATAAGGACAAATCGACCCCACACCAAATGGGAAGAGTCCATTTAAGGGCAGGTGAAAAGTTGTGTGCTGCACGCGCCATCATTAATATATTTTCTGTTTCCACCCCCTTTGTGACGCGTACGCACGCAGGTTGTATTCCCGTATGCCAGAAAAAATACGCCACAAAAAAAAAATATGCTTAAAAAAAATACGCCTCAAAATGTCGCTCCAACAGGTGCACCTGCACATATGCGTGACACCGCTTTTCTGCATCCCACGGGAGAAATTCTTCCACCACCACCCCCCGAGCACCGGAGGGGGCAAATTTAGCTGTGCGCCCCCGACTCACCATTTGGTCGACTGTGGCTGGCTGCCTGCATGATTAGCTACTTTTCGCGGCTGCAAAGTGGGCAAAATGCGTAATTGAGAAAAAAAAAAAAAAAAAAAAAAAAGGGCAAACGTTAAGCAAAGCGAAGTAACGTGAAAAAGGGGGAAAAGAAAACGTCCTACGAAATAACAAAACAATTTTTCAAGTTGAACAACGAAAGAGAACGATTAATAGATTTGCCGCATGTCATCATAGAGGCACCCCATTTTTGAAGTCATTATTTCGTCATTAGCCAAGCCACTAATTCTTGTGCGTGCGTTCGTGACGTAAACGTGGGGGGAACGACGCGAGGAGAGGAAGATCCCACGCGTAGACGAAGCGGTCACGTGGGGAAGAAGCAGCCACGTTGAAACGACGCTATCACGTGGGGAAGAAGCAGCCACGTTGAAACGACGCTATCACGTGGGAACCACGCAGAACCCGCGAGCGAAGAAATAAAATGAGCACAAAGGGAGTAGCATGAATACGAACAAAAATAAAACGTTTCACAAAAAACTGAAGAACAAAAGAGTGATCAAGGAATTTTCCTACGTTTCTTTTAAGAAGGAAATTGCCAAGCTCTACGAAAAGGAGAAGGACTTCTTTAAGCAGATTCATAATGGAACCCTATCTTCTGAAGAGGTTGTAAAATGTAACAGGGCAAACGACCCGCATGTGGGGCAGGGAATGAATCGGGACGAGGGGGAGCACCCTGTAGACTCTGTCGGGTTGATGGTCAAGGTACGCAAAGGACACACGCCGCCCCGTTTGCGACGAACGAGTGCCCCAAGACAAGAGGCTACCAAAGGGATAGATCACAAAGTAGGTGTAACCCGCCGCGTATATGTTATGAAAGCCCCATCTGTGTGCGACAAAGATACAGAAAGTTTCCACTCGTGTTCTATGGAGAAGCACATCGAGGGGGATAGCGCCATAGGTCTAGTGAGCCGTGCAGGGAGGAACAAGTCCACAATGGAAAAAGGCAAAATGGTGAAAAGGGAAAAGTTGGAGTATGCAGAGAAGGAGACAAGTACACATAGCACTGTAAGCGACTCCACGCAGATAATACGACAAGAAGAAAAACAAGTCATAAAGAAATTGTTACAAATTATTATAACAAAGAAAAAAATCACCAATATTGTTAAAACATATTTTAATGAAAACATAACTTTTGTAACCACAAAAACGATGAAGTACATTTTAAAAAAGGCAAAAAAAAACGTGGACTTCCAGATGATAAGAATTCTGCTCATACAAAATGTAGATAAAAAAAATATAGAGACCACAATAAACACCAAAGGGAAAAGGAAATTATTCAAGAATTATATTTTTTCCAATCAAAGACTGAGGGCCATAGAATGTGCGCTCCTTCACATTTATCACATGGATGAAAATAATTTCACCTTTCGTGAATCTTATAAAGAGTTAGACATATCCTCAGATGAGTACCTGCTTTGTGTGCAGGCCGTGTGTATTTATCTGACGCAAAACGCACAGAATGACAAGGCCAATTATAGAAAGTACTGGGATATACATAAGCACGTTAAGGAGCTCTTGCATGGGAACTCCAGTGTATATGAGAGCACCAGTAGTATATCCGTGCATGGGACCACGGGCGTAGACACCCAGGGAGATGACGACATGCAGAAGATTAGCCAGAAGAAAAAGAAGAAAAAGAAGAAGAAGAAAAGCAAAAATGGCACCGAGGTAGATAAGGATATTGTTGGCCCTGTGCGCACTGACCAGGGGGGGGGTGCGAGCTGCATGACCGGGGGGGACAGCAGCATGGACAAAAGCCCCACCGCGAAACTGCCACATCAAGCGGGTGCGCCCCACGCAGGCTCTGAAGAACTACTCAAAATGGTGAGCGAAGAAATGGAAAAAAGGGACCGCGAAATTGACACACTAAAAAGGTCAATCGAGATGATAGAAAAGGATGTGAAGTTGCTTCTGAGGAAGAGGGACGTTAGGACAGATTCGGTGGACGATTCCTTGGAGGCTTCGAGAACGAGCAATTCTTCGTCCTGCAGCGCGGAGAAGTCACCTCCACAGGTGAAGTCACCTGCCACGTCAACCGCGAAGTCACCCGCCAAGACAGCCGCCACGTCAACCGCGGCCATCCCCATAAGCGAGGACGATGTAACGTCGTTCAGGCACAAGGCATTCGTCCTGATGAACCTGTTGAATGAGCACCTGACCGAGAAGGAAACCAAAACAGGCTTAACTGCGAAGAAGCAAACGGAAGGAAAGCCACTAACCCTAAATTATCTCAACGAGGAAATTGACAGACTGATAAGCATCATGACGACGGGCAACAAGCCGCGCGGCAACAAACCGTGTGGCGACGTGTGCAGCCCCTCGGAGGGCGTCCCCAACCTCGAGGAAGAAAGAAACAAATTGGTATCTCCCCAAATGAAGGGAGTCAAGGGCGTGAAGAACGTGAAGGGAGTGAAGGAAGTGAAGGGAAAGGCAACCCAGGGTGAGCACTTGCCCCAGCAGATACCTGGGGAGGTATCACATGTGATGAGAAAAGTAGGAGCCAGGGAAGCACACAGAATAATGCGCATTACGGGGAAGACGGCTTTTGCGGAAATGAACTTCCCCAAAGTGAGTCCAACCAAAGTGGGGTCCACCAAAGTCGGGCCAACCGCAATCGGGCCAGCCAAGGTCGGGCCCACATCCGAGCTAAAGAAAAACGATGCGACAAAGATGGAGAGGAAGGTGTCCCCACCAAGCAGCTACGCAGATAGGATGAAACAAAGGCAAAAAAAATCATCCGTCTACGCGTACGACATAGGTACCACTCGGTGGAATAACCACTCTAGTGTCCTGGAACCGAAAAGGGAAAGGAAAAAAAATAGTATCGTTGAATACGTTAATAATTTTATGAGCAGCGCAGCTAGGGATAAGTTAAACAGAGAAATATCGTCCCTGGAGAGTATAAAGAGGGAAGACATGGTCACATCACAAAACACGAGCTCAGATGCATCTGCCATTGTGGTCAACACGTATAAGAGGAGAAACTACTTCCAGGAATACATGAACTACTGCAATGCGGCTGAGGAGAATGATGGAGATGGAGAGCAGAGTGATCTGCTATCAGTGAACAAGGCCCCCCATGTGTACTCCCGTGGAGGGAGAAGCACCAACCAGTGGAAGCAAGAGAATAAAGAGAAAAGAGAAAAGGAAAAGAAGGAAGATAAAGAAGGGATGAGCGATAAACGAGCAAAAAAAGAACACCTGATGAATCTGAATGAAAAACAAACCAACCCCACGCTGAGCATGGGCAAGGTTAACAGCGGCAAGACCACGACACCAAATCACAGCGTCGAGAAACGAGACACCCAAGTTGCGGAAGACTCCATTGGCCATCAGGAGGAAGAGAAGGGGAAGAAGAAACGGAAGGAGCAGAAGGCAAGTGCTCATGAGGTAGCGCCGGGGATAGTGATGGCGCAGAGACGGGACGAAAAGGAGGACACACCAAAGGAAAGGAAGAATAAAGAAGGGGATAAGAAACAGAGTGAGGGGGATAAAGACGACAAAGAGGAAAGTGATGATGAGGAGGAGGACGATGACAAGAAGCAACCTCCGCAGCAGTTGGACGAGCTCGACAAGCTCAGCGACCATGCGACGGAGAGTGGCGACAGCGTGGTTTATAACTACAATTTGTATAACGCCATTTACGACCTGAACGAACAATTTTCCAGTGTGGTGAAAAATATGTATTTGGAGAAGGACGCTGGGGGGGGGACCCTTGGAGGACCTGCGGAAAATGAAAACGTGAAGGCGAAGGGGAAGAAGGAAAAGGGAAAAAAAGGAAGCAAGGGTCAGCAGGAAATGGGAGACTCGAGTGAAGTGGGTGACATCAGGGAGAGTAGCGACAAAAAGAGGAGAGAGGAGAAACTCAAGAAAAAGGCCAAAAAGAAGGAGGAGAAACGGCGAAGGAAGGAATTGCTCCTGGAAGAAAAAAGGAAAGTGAAGGAAACAAAAAAGGAAGAGAAAAAAAGAATAAAACAAATGAAAAAGGAAGAAAAGAAGAAATTGAAAGAGGCGGAGAAGGAGAAGAAAAAGAAGTTGAAGGAGGCGCGGGAACTGGAGGAAATAAAAGCGAAAGAGGCAAAGAAGGCAAAAAGGATTGCAGCCAAAGCAGCCGCCAAAAAGGTACAGAAAAAGTCAGCCGCAACCACAGCGGCCAAGCGCATGGAAGGGAATACCTCAGAGTACTCCTCCATGAGGGAGGACAACCCCAGTGAAGACACCCAGCCGGAACCCCCTCGAAACGACGACTACAACTTCATCGAAGCCACGTCCAGTGACAAGCACAGGAAGATGAAGACGCACGGGGGAAGGATCATATATGAAGAGTACATAACTCAGGAGAAGGCAATTAGAGGTATCATCAAGAAGAAGTACATACGGGTAAGTGACTACAGAGTGTATCATTTGGTCGGGTTGGTGTTTGCGTGGATGGGCTCCTTTGTGTCTTCGTTACGCGAGGGGGGTGAATCCTTTGGGCGCGCCTTTCGGGCGGCCGTCCGCGCGTCCGCCGATTGAAAAGTGTGTGCGCTGCTTCTCCCCCGCGGCGTCATCGTGTCAACGTGTCATCGCATCACCGCGTCCCCTGTGCGGTTTGAACGATTGTTCATCGCTTAAGACGGCTGAATACCGATTTTTACACCGCCCCTCCCCTTATCGCAGGGCATCCTGACCGTCCGGAGACACGACTACGGGTTTGTCGTCTGCAACGACAGAAAGGTTCATATAAAGTCGAAGAAGGACATGAACAGAGCGATCGACGGGGACGCAGTGGTGGTCAAGCTGAACAGGGACACAAGGGGAGAAGCAAGCGAGGGAGGAAAAGTGAAGCGTGGAAAAAGGGTGAACGATAAGGAGCAAGCGCAAGGGGGAGCAAAATCAAGTGCTTGGCCAGAGGAGAACAAGGAAGACGAACTCACAGGAAAAATAATTTACATAGAAGAACACCACGGGTCGAATATACACTACGTGTGTATTTTTAGAGAAAAAATTAAAAAGCAAAAATTCAGCACGGCTATCCCATTTAAAAAAAGCATCCCATTTATTAAGGTAGAAAATAAACACATAATTGAATTCATGAAGAGGAGTAACGTCATGGACATAACAAACCAGTTAGTCTATATAAAAATATTTAGGTGGAACACAAATGAATTATTTCCAGAAGGAAGAATTGTAGAATTGCTTGGGCAAAATGACTTGTTTCACAATATGCAAAATGCTATTTTGCTTAACCACAATTTATATTTTAATTTGAAACAACCTTTGGAAGATGATTTTTTAAAAAAATTGAAGAACAAGGAGATTTTATACAGCGACATAGTAAAGGAGGAAATTATGAAGAGAATGGATTTGAGTAAAAAATGCATTTTTACCATCGATCCTGAAACTGCTAGAGATTTGGATGATGCTATTAACATCAGCAGAATAAGTAAAAAAAAAATCGCCAAATGTAATTTTTATATTAAAGTTATTCACAACTTGATGGTCCACAATGGAGAAATTGAAGAATCCATTTTGGAAAAAAATCTGTCCTTTTTTGTTAAAGAGGATGATGATTTTTTTCAAACGCTGAAGGAAAATAACTGCATCAAGGAGATGGAAGATATTAAGTATGAAAATTTTGTTAAGAATAAAATGGACGAGCAAAATAAAAAAAAAAAAAAAAAAAAAAAAAAATTTGTATATAGGGAATGAAAATGTGAAAAATTACACTTGCGGAAAGGACCAACACAAGCAGATAGACAAGCCCAATCGTAGCTCCTCTAGCAACAGGAAGAACCGCTCCGATGAGATGTGCACCCGTTACACACACCAGGGGAACCAACATATGGAAAGCAGCAGCCACACGGAGGAAAGCTCCATGCAGAAAAGCAACAGCAGTGAAGAAGCGATAGGCAACTACCACCACGTGGTGGGAAACCAGAAGGGAAAGTCCAAGTATGACCCGCTCAGGGCGAACAAGAATTATGGAGACTCCGAATCGGAGACAGGTGTCCTCAGCACCACGAGGGGAACACACACAGGTGTTAGGAAGGGCGACATGAGAGACAGAAACAATCACCTGGACAAGTGTGGAAACCCATTTGAGGATTCCTCTATGTGTAATTCTGGCTTGGGTGGGGAAAATGAGGAGAGAGCGCGTGGGAGCGCCAGGAGGAAGAAGCCGTTGTTACGGAAGCATAGCGGTCACGGGCAGGAGGATGAAGATGGAGAGGACGGTAACTACCATAGTCAAAGCCATGGCGACAACGAAGGTAGTACCGACCCCAGCAAGCTCGCCAAGTACCAGCACATCTTCAAAAAGTACCTGAACGAAGACATAGGGAGGGACGTCCTGACCAACCACGACTTGTTCTGCGAAAAGTGCAAGAGGCAAATAACCCTGAAGGAAATAATAAAAGACATGACGGAAAAAAAATGGAAAAAGTACAACTTGTTCGAAGTAGGAGTACACATTACCGACGTTGCTTATTTTATAAAAGAAAACTCTTCCCTCGACATTGATGCACGTAACAGAGCTATGACCATATATCTAACGCATACATGCTTCCCTATGATTTCAAGAATTTTAAGTGAGTCCTTGTGTAGCCTGGACCCTGTTAGCAGCCGTTTGTGCTTGTCCATATTTTTTTACATGGACAGTACAGGTAAAATTGATCACAATTCTTTTTTCCTCAAGGAAAGCATAATAAACAGTAAAGTCAGATTTACCTATCAGGAGGTTTACTTGCTTGTGAAAAATTATAGCAAACTGAGAAAGGTAATTAACCGTTTGATGAAGGAGGAAGGTAACAGGAGCGGTGCGCGCTTTATCGGAGGAGTCCCTGCTGGGGGGGATATGACTCCGTGGGGCAGTGTGTCAAGTCAGTGGGAGAAGCGGCAGGAGGGAGATGATGCAGTGATGGGGGGAACTGTTGGAGAGGCGCTCCACTATGGAGAGCACGTCGCACAGACCGCACAGACCACACACACTGCGCAAGTTGTGCAAGGTCAGGAAAAAGGGCCCGTCGCGCAGGCCGCGACTGAGAAGGAGCAGGGCAGCCAGAAGAGCAGCCTGTACAGGAAATTCCTCAACCTTCATTTTTACTCGAAGAAGAAAAAGAGCGCAAGTATCGAGTGCGAAAATGCCTCGTGTGAGAACCCTACCAATGGGCGGAGCGAAGCGGCTGCCGCGCACCACAGCAGTGGCATCAGCAACAGTGACGCGAACAATACTGTAGTTGAAAAGAATGGCGCAAACAAGGTGCCGCTCAACCAAAGCAACGGCCAGGACACAAAGAAGAAAAACACACTGATGAAGCAACACATTCTGCAACACGAAGAAGTAAAAGCAGGAGTAAAAGCAATTGTCAAAATATTCAAAAATTTGAACAATAGAAATTACAAATTGTCCTACAAGAAAATTTTCCACATTGTAAAAAATTTGTATTACCTGTACAAAATAAGCAAGCGGGCAAGAGTCATACGAAAGAATAATGGTTCCCTCCTTTTCAACAATGACAAAATGAATATCATTCTTTCAAGTACCTGTACACCCATAGCCATTGTAAACAAAAAATATACCTTTGCCAATTACTTAGTGGAAGAGCTCATGTTAAGTGCTAACAAATTAGTTGCGATTCGTCAGTACTTTAGTAAATACAGAAACGTGTCTGTGTTCAGGTGTCACAGTATGGATAATATAATTGAAACAAAGGACATCATTGAGGTGTTAGAAAAGCATGGAATATATTTGCAAGTATCTGACTTGAGACATATTTTAAAGTTCTTAGATAACGCGACTAGTGTCATTAAACAGAAGAGCAAACCTATTTCAGACATTGTCTGTGCCTATGCCAAGAAAAAAATGATGAGGGCAGAATATCACACCTTTCAACATATTAAGGACAACAAAATGAGTACTTACCACTACGCCCTTTCTTTTCTTTTGTACACGCATTTTACCTCTCCTATTAGGAGATATCCCGACATTTTAGTTCACCGCGTTATAAAGAAAATCCTCAGTGATGAGAACAAGCTCAGCAGCCAGTTGTGCACCAGGCAGGAAATCCTGGCCCTACCGGACACTTCAGACGTGGTGCGTAGGAAAGGAGTAGCAGCGTGCCTGCGTTTTGGCGTATTATCTATATTAGCGCACGATATATAAGGCTACGCCATTTGTGCACATTATACCATGCTCTCACGTGTCACTTCTCACGTCGCACGTCGCACGTCTCACCCATGTGCCGCCCCCTTTCCCCCCCTTTAGGGCATAATTGAGGATATTTGCGAAAAATGCAACAACTGCAAGACAAGGTCCAAGTGGGCCCAGATAGACTGCGAAATTGTAAGAAGCTTCTTTTGTGATGAGAAGTGGGGCGAGATGGGATGGAAGGCAGTCCTTCCCACCAGTTGTGTCTCACTTGCCATGTGGAAGTGGATGGTCCTCCTTATTCGATTCACGAATATACACCATTTGAGGAACACCTTCGTTTGTTCTGTAGCCGCACGGGCGTGAATTATTTCTCTGTTTTTTTTTTTTTTTTTTTTTTTCAGGCTTTTTTCTGTTTGTATTTGCAGAAGCACGACTATCCTGGTTACAACAGGGGTGAGTTATTCGTCCGCTCGTTCATTTGTTCATTTGTTCATTTGTTCATTTGTTCAATCGTGTTGTGCTCACATGTTTTTTTGGTTTTTTCATCTCACCGGCGCGCATGTTACATGTCTCTCCCGCCACACACAGGCATCATCATGGATATATACAAGGAGAAGGCCTCTATATTCTTCAAGTCTTTTTCATTTGAAAATGTAAAAATTGAGAGAGAGATTATTTTTCCGCTCGAAGGAGATTCAGTAGATCTGCACGCTGTGAAGCGATCTTATGTGAAATATTCTTTTCCCGCACTGTGCAATTGTTTACTCACCATGTCCTCTCCCCCCCTATAGAGCCTCTACTACGTCGGTTACGAAAAGCATATAAGCAAAATGAATAAGAGCCACCAGGTAGAATTTTCGAGGCGCCCCTTTTGTTTCCCCATTCCCTGGGGAGAAGACTCCCTGCGCCCTGTGCACATAGATTATGACCACTCGCGCAAACGTGCAAACATGCGAATACACATTTGCATGGACCTCTACACTTCCCCATCTCAGGCATATTTAAGCAACTACGTTATTTATGCAAATACGGCCCAGCAGGAGGTAAGGTGGAAAACAAGGAAATGCAACACAAGCATGGAGCACAAAGGGCAAGCTGGCCCAAGGCCGCAAACGTGTGTATGACGTGCATATGTGCTACACATCTTTTGGTATCCCCCTCCTTTTTTTTCCCCCCCTTTGCAGCTTACACTTAGTGTTTACAGTGCCAACAAGAGAAAGCTCGTCATGCGAAAGGTGTACAAGGTATGAATAGGGACATATAGTTATGAGCAATCCTGAGAAAGAAAAAAAAAAAAAAAAAAAAAAAAAATCCCCGCTGCTGTGTTCAATGGAACCAAGCACCTCCCCCCGGTTGATCATTTTCACCACCGCGACGCTTATGCACATGCGGAGTAAAAAATAAAAATAAATAACATGTGCAATTATTTATTTTATTTTTTGTTTTTCCCCCCCCCTTTCCAGCGCTTCGATTATATTCCCCTATATTTTTTCCCCTTGAGCACGATGCCTCCATCGTATTTTCTGGCCGTCGCCATTGACAGATGAAGAGGAAGCGCGAGTTGCAAATGAAATAACAAACAAGTGCAAGGGTTGAACACCGTGAAATTACACAAGGACAGAGGGACAAGTCCCCAAGAGAGCGAGCCATCGGTTGACGAGCTTCCCATGGGGACGCCAAGATAGAGGAACCGCGGGTATTTAGAGGCAACGGATGGGAAGCGCATGTGCCACCATTACCCCTTCGTAACGTCGCCTGTGCGTTCCATTTCGCGCTATCACCCTTTGTAGCATTTGTTCTCCGTGTTGCCGTCCTCTGCGCCTTTCGTGCCGCGCACTACTCTGTAACTGTGGTCGAGTAGCATGCGTCATTTAAGCCTGCGCAAAAGCAGACTTTTTTTTTTTTTTTTTGGTTTCACCCCAAAGTGCGCCCGTCGCGTATGAATAGGGGATAACCAGTTTAGCGGCTAACCGGATAGGCGGCTTGCCCATCAATTTGTTAACCCCCAATTTGTAAATAACTCATTTGTGAATAACTCATTTGTATATAACTCGTTTGTATATAACTCGTTTGTAAAAAAACCCATTTGTGGGTCGTTCCCTCTTGAAGGGCTCAACCTACCCTTTTGCCATTTTTTCCTCCCCTCGCTTCCTACACACACAATGAGAAAGACGCACCTCTAGACCGAGTGTACTTTTCCTTTTCCGCCTCTGAGGAGAATCATTTTCGCGCTTGTGTCCCACGCGCCTATCGCGATCCCATCACGCAATATGACACACGTCAACCTCCTCGTCTATCTGCTGATGTGCCCCTTCAATGTAAGGCACATGCTCGATGCACCCAGCTTCCCATTCCGGTTAGGAAGCAAAATAGCAAAGGGTGAAACATTTATGTATGGAGAGACTGGAAGAGAAAACCTGAGAAGCTACTCTCCCCGATATGATGAAATGTACATGTTCGAGCTAGCTAAAATATACTACCAAATTGTATTAAAATATAAGAAGAATATTAGACAAGGACAGGAAGAGAATTATGATTTGGTGGTAAGTTCGTTTGAGAAGGAAGCCAACATGATGGGTATCTCCCTCCAAACAGTTCGCGTCACAACTGATTTCGTTTATCTCTTATACCAGAATGTGCAAAATGAAAATGAGATTGAAGTTAAGGTAAAAAAGGGGGGTGAAATATCTACCTATATGGACCTCCTAAGTGTGGAGTCTTGTTTGTACAAGCTCAACGCAGATGATTATAATTTAATGAAAAGAGTATCAGATCATAGCAAGCCAATAATGATCAGCACCTACCACATATATATACTGCTAACCGTGTTTTCTCTTTGCACTTATGTGGAGAAGAGTTTACTAATTGAATTTCCAGCGTTGAAAAAGTATCACATATTTGTAACCCTATGTTTGGTGTTTTGCCCAATAATTAGTTACCTCTTTTTTTTTTATATTTATATGAGCATATTTAGAGTGTTACTTATTTATGTGCTTTTTTACGCACTCTTTTGGACCCTCTTTGGTAGAAGGGGAGGGGAAAGGGTGGGTAAGCAATCGGGTTATTCAATAAAGCAACGTGATAATAACCCACAGGAACAATTACACACACAAGAAGAAAGACGAAGAAAGTGCTTGGTCCATATGAGATTAGCTAACTTATGCATTACTTACATTTGTATATTTGCAGTGGACTTTTATTTTTTCCCAAGGCAATTTTCCAAGTCGTTTTTTTATGGTAACACGTTGATGGACTTAGGGGTCGGGGGATGCATCACATCGAGTGCATATTCTTTAAACAGTAACAAGCTGCTCCTTCACTCTGGCAATTGCAAGGGACGCATAATCGATTGGAAGTATTTCATTTTGTTTTGCTTAGGAATAGCTAGGTACATTGCAGTGAAATTATTTAATTATAACTACAGCTTAACTGAGTATGGGATGCACTGGAATTTTTTTCTTACGCTCTTTTTTACACTCCTAATTTGTAACGCCTTACTTACGTTGATAAAAGGGGTTAGAAAGATCTTTCTCCTTAGCTGTGTTGGTATCTTTGTGTATGAATTTTTTATTTGGCACCTAGACATTACGAGTTACTTACTGGCAGACGATACAGAACGGACCCACTTTTTTTCTTTGAACAGAGAGGGCCTTATGAACGTCATTGGGTCTATCAATCTGTACCTCTTTTCCTTTTCGCTATGGAATGGGTATGTGCTGAAGGATGAGGTGCAGAATGGGAAGAAAGGACAATGGGAGGGATATGGCCAGCTCTCCCCAATTTACCTCACCCTGAAGTTGTTTGCCATGTCCCTCCTGTTCCACCTACTGCACCTCCTTTTGAATTACTACCACAACTACAGTGTACGCATTTTGTGCAACGCAAACTATATATGCGTTGTCTCCTCTGTGAGTCTCTTCGCGGCTGCCCTGAGCTACCTTGTAGAGGCAGTACTGCTACGGGAAAAAACCACCACCATCCCAGTTATGCAAAAAATGAATAGGCACACCCTCGCAGTGTTCCTCTTTTGCAACATAACCATGGGTACTTTCAACCTCCTGTTTCAGTCCCTTTTGTTTCCTCTATTTTTTGCATGCATCATTTTGGTGGTGTACTCATATGGTATGTTGCTCTTCGCGTCCCTGTTGCCTGGCCCCGCGGACAGGCAGAAGCAAGACAAGCAGAAGCGTGACTAGTTTGAGACTTCCCTGTCGGCCCCACCCAGTGGGCCTATTTTTCATCATGTGTCTCTATGCGTGTGCGTGTTCGTGTGCACGTGCACATTGCGTAGGTGGTGACCGAAGTGGGACGCCCGCGTTTCAGAACATTTTCCCATTTTTGCAAACTGCTCAGTTTTTCTTAGCGCGGGCGTCCCGCAAATCCCCGTAGTACTCCACATGCAAACATACAAAAAAGGGAACCGCTGCAGGAGCATACATACACATATGTGCACTCTTATTCGTGTGCGTGCGGGGAGGCGCAATTGGCTGACGGTCTCTGATCAGCGCATGTCACGCCGCCGGGTGTGGTGTCCTGTCCATAGTGCGTGTCCATGGTCACTTGAATGCAGCGAGACAACTCTTCCACCCCCATGTCGATTTTATTCCTCAGAAGGATTTCGTGGAATACCTTTACGATGTTTTCCTCGTAAGTTTTTATTTGCAAATCGACCTACACAAACAAGTGAAAAAAAAACTTATGCGCGTATGGTACGTGACATGTGCAGGGATCACGATCCCTCAGTATTTTTTTTTTTTTTTTTTTTTTTTTTTTTCCTTCCTCCTGTTGAATAAGTTTCAATTTGGGCAACACAACGCAAATTACTTTCGAATAAAGGTCCATAAGATTCATCTCGTTTTCTTTCCTTTCTCGTGAAATGACTCTTCTCAGTTCATCATTCACCGCGCACTGTTCCTTTATTCTATTTTGCAACGCCTTCAATTCGATTCTCCCTGACTCATCTTTGTCCTTTTCCATTTTGTTCTTTAACTCTGATCTGAAGGGGGATGGGGAGAGAGCAATCAATTGGTACAATGACCAGGTGATTGTATGTTTGTGGGGGAAGGGTGTAGAGGGATTAATGACGTGGGAAGAAAACATCCTCATGGGTATGCTCCAATTCGCTTAAAGGAGTACATTTTTTTCTTCAAGGCTGCATTCTCTTTCTTGGCGTCACCGATGGTTTTGGCCACTTCGGCCTGCTGCGTCTGCATGGCGGTCTATAAGTGGGAAAGTGTGGACGGGAGGTTTGCCAAACGGATCACAGCTCTAAAGAAGTTATCATCATAAATGCACAAAGACACTCGAAATATGCACACGTGTCCAGTATGTACAATTATTCAGGCCAAACAAGTATATAAAGCAGCCCCCCCAATACCTTCGCACTCTCCTTCACATTCGCTTCAAACTTTGTACAAGCGGCTATGCACATTTCGGTCATCTTTCTGTTATCTTCCCTTTTTTCCTTCTCCTTCTTCCGACCAATTTGCAGTAGTTCAAGAGACACATTCCTGTACTTTCTGTAAGGGTGAAAAAAAAAAACATCCCAGTGGTGTGTGCAGAGGGATTTTTTTTTTTTTTTTTTTTTTTTTTTTTTTTTTTCTCAAATGGCTAGTCGTATTGTTCTCCCGCCTTACTGAATTAAAAAATCAACATCGAGGAGAACGTTATTTCTAATTTGTCCAATTTGGTGCATGTGTCTTTTTCGGATTTTCCTCAGTACACGTTCGTATTTCTCAATCAGGTGAATTTTTTCGCGTTGCTCTTCTGCATTTCTGTGTTTATAAATTTCGATGGTCTCGATTAGCTACAACGGGGGTTGGACGAATTCCACGTGGAGCGATCAGGTGTCAATTAGAAAAGGGGAACAAAGCTCGTACAAGTGGTTACGTACATGTGGGTGGACACCTCCCCCATATGTATGTATTCATTTCTTTACCTGCGGAATAGGGCACGAACTTTCCCCTTCTGGGTCACCTGCGCCAAGGTCATCATCCCTACAAGGCGGCCAAAAAAAAAAAAAAAAAAAACACATATGATAACAGGAGAACAATGCTCACTGATCCCTCATGTAACTTTTTTTTTTTTTTTTTTTTTGTACACATTTGATGATATCCTCTTTTTCGTCATTCACAATTTTGGGATAACCTCCTCATTAATGTCCTATTGGTTGTTTCCTCCCTCTTCTGCTGATTTTCACTCTCCATTTGGATCCTGTTTTGTGCGTCTTTTGCGTTTGTTTTATCTTCCTGGTTCAGTACCCCCTCTCCCCCCTTTGGTAGACCTTTCTTTTTCCGCTTGTGCGTTTTTTTCTCTTTTTCCAGCTTGAACTTGAGCATGTACAGGTGCTCAATCAGTGTTTTAAACTGTACATGTGAGTGATGAAGAGGAAAATGTGATAATACTTCACGCGTATAGAAGATATACCTCGGCTAACCATACCAATGTGTTCACTCCTTTTTTTTTTTTTTTTTTTGTGCTTCTCCCCCCGAAGGCGTTTACTCAGGTGAAGTTACTTCACGAGGATGAAAACTCACCTGAGAGTCTACTTTCATGCCATGAGCAGGAATTGGGCTCACATTAACCCCCACCGTGGGGATGCTTTCCTCATTGGCATCCTCCCCAAGGGCATGCTTTACGTAGTTCTGGCAGTTGTTAGCAGTCGACATGCTATAACATAGGTCGCTTTAGCGTGGAATTACCTTCTTCCTTTCTATATTTTAAGATGAAGGAAAAAGACAGAACAAAAGGGAGGTTTTTTTTTTTTTTTTTATTTTCCTCCTTTTTAAGTTCCAACTGGCATAATAATTTGCGGAAAAAGAAAGGGACAAAACGGGACAGCGGAAAAGGGGAAAAAAACAAAAAAAAAATTCCTGGGAGGTTAACTCGGTAAGCATTTCCTCCATGCGACAGTCAGTTGAAAGTTGCTTCCCTTACTCATCCCTCCCCTGTGCAAATTACTCGCCCACACGTGTGCGCGCTGCAGTTGTAAAGGCACGGGAGGGAATTTTTCAGAAAGGTGTGTCCATCAAAAGGCAAGAGCAGTGAAAAAAAAAAAAAAAAAAAGTGGCAAAATTGGTGTGCACATTAATGTGCAATAAAACGTTCCGAAAATTGTTTCCTCAAGTGTTGCCTCAAATGTTCGTGCAACTTGGCACACCAGGCGGGGGCCGCTAAACGGCGCGGCTGCGGTGGACCTGACGTTGGCGTGAGCATACGACGTTGCCTGAGGCAACCAAGAGGAACCTCCATGGATAAAAAAAATAAATAAATAAAATGAATACATAAATAACAAAATATTATAAAATAAAAAAAATATATATGTATTATAAAATAAAGAGCATACCAAGGGAAAAGTTGCCCATGACTGAGCGCTGCATGCACTGTGTAGAACAGCCCTGAGTTGGAACTCCATTTTATTATATTTTTTTTTTTTTTCAAGCTTGCTCTTCACAGAAGTGTTCTTTCCTCCCTCCCCGAATATACTTCCATCATCTGGCGCATGATCTTTATGCGAAAGGGCCAAGTTTAGCAGAGGAGAAATTCGGGACATCACCCCCCCCCCACGATTGCACCTTCTACAGAGCTGCAGCTAATCCATTCAAGTGGTTAAGCAGCGTGCGTTTGTCAGGTGGGGAAAAATCACCTGTTGTGCATTTCAAGCGTTACTGCGCAAGATTCACAGGGGGGCAGCGTGAAGCAGGGGAAACCCTATATTCGCCAGACAGCCGCACAAGAATGAAAGTGGGAAGACTGGTCCAGCTAGTGACCCTGCTACTGTGCACCGCCACTGTCAAAGCCATACTCAGGCATGCCGCGAATGTGAGCGCACAAGGAAAGTGGGCCCTCGAAAGGAAAGGGAACTCGAGGGACATGCAATTCATGGCCAGTAAAGTAATAAAGGGGGTAACTCATAATAGGAAAATCTCTCCACACTCATCGCATTCAGAACACATGGTGAGTGAGGGAAATGGGCTAGCAGAAGAGACAAATAGAAAAGGGGAACCCCTTGGAGACATTTGCTTCATCGCAGGAGTAGGAGACACCAATGGATACGGGTGGGGAATTGCAAAAGAACTGAGCAAAAAAAACGTAAACATAATTCTAGGTGTATGGCCACCAGTGTATAACATTTTCATGAAGAACCTCCATAATGGAAAATTTAATGACGACATGGAGATAGGGGACGGTAGAAAAATGGACCTTCTCGACATCCTTCCCTTCGATGCTGCATTTGATTCGTTTAGTGATATAAATGAGGAAACGAAAAAGAATAAAAGGTATGCTAACTTAGAAAATTATTCAATTGAAGAGGTTGCAAATTTGGTTTATAAAAGGTACGGGAAAATAAATATGTTAGTTCATTCATTGGCTAATGGAAGAGAAGTGGAGAGGAGTCTACTTGACACAAGTCGAGATGGTTATTTGGATGCACTGAGTAAAAGCACCTATTCTCTAATAGCTCTATGCAAATATTTCTGCCCAATCATGCACCCCGAATCGAGTGTGATTTCATTGACTTACTACGCGAGTCAGAAGGTGGTGCCTGGGTATGGGGGAGGCATGTCAAGTGCTAAGGCAGCATTAGAATCTGATACGAGAACTTTAGCCTATCACCTGGGGCGAAAGCACAAAATTAGAGTTAATACGATTAGTGCCGGGCCTCTTAAATCAAGGGCAGCAACTGCCATCAAGAAGGCCAATGTGCAACAAGGAGAAAGCGAAACGGAAAAAAAAAATTTGGCATTTATAGATTACGCCATTGAGTACTCAGAAAAGTATGCACCTCTTCAGCAGAAGTTGTATTCCACAGACGTCGGGGCCGTGGCCGCCTTTTTGCTGTCCAAGGAAAGTAGAGCAGTCACTGGCCAGACCATTTACGTGGACAACGGGCTCAACATTATGTTCGGCCCCGATGATTTGTTTCAGGGCAGGGGGGACTAGCGGGTAAGTTGGGCTCGTAGGAGATGCAAACCACTTGCAGCCTTCTTCACTAAGCAAACTAGTTTTTAAAAAGGGGGAAAAAATACCTTTGCACGAAAAAAAATTTAAAAAAAAAAAAAAAAACTCGAATTTAAATATTAAAAGGGGGAGAAAAAAAAAAATGTTTATATGTTCACTGCGCCCCGTGGAACAACACCCCCTCGGGATGAATTCCTACAGGTGGCGTTTGTCGATTGTTGCTCAGACACAGCTACGCAAGGTGGAAGAGCGAACCCGAGTCTCCTCGCTTACATATAGGTGTGTCGGGCAAAGCGGATGTAATATGCCGCCATTTCTTCACGACTTATTTTTTACAATTTTTTGTAGCTGCTTTTTGTATTTCAAATAATTCGGGTCCTCCTCTGTTTTAAAAAAGGGGTAAATATTTTTAAAAATAGAATCGGCATTTATAACAATTTCGTCTTCCTCGTCATCCTCCGTGTTGTCTTCATCTTCTCCCTCCTCTGACTCGGGTTTTGCTCCGCAGTATGGAGCAGATTTTTCTTGCTCGTGTCCCGCTCCGGTGTGTTCCTCCCCCTTTTTCCGCAACAAATTGGTGAACCATACCTTCTCACTTTCTTCTAAGTCGAGGTCGGACTGGAGGTCAACGTCCGAGTCGACGTTCATTTCCACATGGTGACTGGATTGTTCTTCTCCCTCCTGGGCATGGTCAACAAGGGGTTGAATCCCTGTTTGCTCACCTCTGTCCAGGCCATCCTTTTTTGTCAATACATCGTCTTTCCCCTTGGAGTAGAATTCTCCTCCATCTGCGTCGTCCTCGGGGATGTAACGGGGGACTTTAAAAATGGTCGAGGTGGACTCCTCGCGCTTGTTCTTGCTGTTCTTCTTCTTTTTCTCCATGCCGCTCATTCATAAAAAAAAAAAAACAGGAACCGACTCACCAGCGCGCGTTTTTGTAACGCATCGTTGATGATTGTGTTGCTGTTTCGCTCCTCGCTGTTTGGCTGTTCTGATATCTTCTATATGATATTTCCCATTTCATATTTCCCATTTGATATGCGCCCCCAATCAGCTATTTTTTTGCCGCTTCCCCTGCTGACCCTTCGGAACAGCCAAAACGCGATTATAGCTAACTGGAAAAAAAAAAAAAAAAAAAAAAA